GCCCCTTCCCGCCCACCTCCGGGTCACCGACGCTCCTCCTGCTCGACATCGTCTCACCACGCTTCACACGCTCCGCCGCCTCCCGCCGTCCGGCTCTGTCTGCCCCCACCACGCAACAATCCCCGCCCCGATTGGCCGCCCGTTCCCCTTTCAGCCAATCAGAGGAGGCGTAGAAACGTTCGGCGACCTGACGGCGTTCTGCCGTTGCCAAGCAACGGAGAGACGCCGGGCTCGGGGAGGGCGTGGCCAGGCTGAGGGACAGGCGCATGCGCAGGAGGCCCTGCCCGCGAGATGGAATGGCGGCGTGGGAGCCGCGCACCTGAAAGCGGGTGAGGGAGCGCCCGGCCTGAGGCCACGCCCACCGCCGCTAGGGGCGTGGCCTCCGCCAATCAGGAGAATGGAAAGAGTGGGGGAGGGGGCGTGGCTAGATGTGGGGGGCGTGGCTTGCGCGTGGAACAGGCGGGGCTTAGTGGTGAAGAGGTGGAGCTTGGAGGGGTGAGGTGTGCGGGGACGTGGGGAGGGTTATGGGGACGTAGGGGGTGTGGTGGGGGCTGTGGGGAGGTTATGGGGACACAGGGAGGGTCATGTGGTCACAGGGTGGGTTATGGAGCCACGGGGAGGATTGTGAGTTGGGTGTTGTGGGGATATGGGAAGGGTTATGGGGACACGGGGTGTTGCAGGGATGTAGGTACGTTTTGAGAGCATAGGGAATGGTTATGGGGGCATGGGCATGGGAAGCGTTATGGGAATGTGAGGTTATGGGGACATTAGGAGGTTATGGGAAGGGAATTGGTGTTTACGGGAGTAAGATTATAAGGCCTGGGAGGTCATAGGGACATAGAGGAGTTATGAGAACAAGGGGTGGTTATTGGGATGAGGATGGTTTATGGGAATGGAAAGGGTTATGGGGACGTAGGGAGGGTTATGGGCTTTATTGGGATTGCGGGTGGGTTATGGGAATGGGCGGGCTGTGGGGACATGGAGGGGGTTACGGGGTATGGTTGTGGGGACATGGGGAATGGAGATGGGGGAGTGTTATGGGGAATGGGAAGGAGGACGTGGGGGAGGGTTATGGGGACATTAGGAAGGTTATAGGGATGTGAGGTTATGGGGACTTTGGGGGAGGTTATGGGGATGCAAG